ACACACACACACACACACACACACACACACACACACACACACACACACATCAGTACAGGGTTTCTCTTTATAGTTTTGACTGTCCTGGGACTTGCTCTGTAGATCAGGCTGGCCTCAAACTCAGAACTCTGCCTGTCTCAGCCTCCCAAAGTGCTGGGATCAAAGGTGTGTGCCACCACACCAGACTAGGGAATTATCTCTTACTAGTACACTTATAAACTCAATGGAGGGAACATTTCTTTTCCTCTAACAAAGAAAAATACAGGAAAAAAGTGCCCTCCAATGTCTAAGGCAGAGCCACTTGCACTCTGTGTGTAATGGACTGAAGCTTTGATTTGCCAGTTATCCCCTTTCTTCTACCAACCTGGCATTTCTACTCCCTGGATTTTATCCTGAACAAACAGTGAGACACGTGTGCTTACACTGTACAAGAATGCTGCTGAGTGTGCTGCTGCTCACTTGTGGCCCTAGCACTGGAGAGGCTAAGGCAGGAGGATCACAAATTTGAGGCCAACCCAGTAGTTAAGGTGACATCTGGGCTAGTCTAGGCTATATAATAACAACCAGTGTCAAGTCAAACCAGACAACAGAAATCTCCAAGAACCCTGCATGGGTGGTGTAAACAACAGTAGTAAGATGAAAATAACCCAAGTCCATTAGCCGAGGAACTGAAGTTTTTATTATGTTCTCACCATAGAATAATCTGAATTTAATATAACTGTGATTATTAACTACCAAGGAAACATCTCTATGGACAGTTTCTCCCAGCAGACAATGGATGTGTCAAGTGCCTTCTAATTTGCAAAGAGAGAAAAATAAATTTATACTTTACCGTCATCATCTTCAGCTAAAGGGAGGAAAAGAGAAACACAATATATTAATTTACATAGTACAGCTCAACACGTCCCCTCCTTGCCCGTTAGCAACTCTATTCTTCTTCCACCACCGCACCCAGGGTTTTAATATTTAATCTCTGTCTGTCCTGGAACTCATTTTGTAACCCAGGCTGTCCTTCAACTCACAGAACTCCGCTTACCTCTTTCTCCTAACTGCTGAGATTAAAGGCATGTGTCACCATGTCTGGCCCCACTCCTTACTCCCTAACCTCTGTGATAGTGATGGCTCTATTGGCCTCCATTAGGGATATCACATGACAAGCATTCTGGAGCCCTTAAAATTAAGCGCATTAGGGTTTTTGTGTTTGGTATAAAACTTAAATCCTGGGCTGAGGAGATGGCTCAGTGGTTAAAAACACTGTCTGCTCTTCCAAAGGACCCAGGTTCAGCTCCCAACACACACATGGCAGCCCATAACCCTCTGTAACTCTAGTTCCAGGGGACCTGACACCCTTTCATGGCCTCTAAGGGGACTTCCTGCACCTAATGCTCAGGTAAGCATGCAAGAGAAACACTCATGCACATAAAATAAAATAGTAATAATTAAAACATTTAAATCCAGGATTTCTAAATCTCAATACATAGCTAAAGTATTTTTTAGTGAAGTGGAAAACTTTCCTTTTAAAATTATTGTTTAAATGACAAGCCATCTAAGGATTTTCCAGGAAGCTGCCAAAGAAAGCTGAACTTTGAGTGAAGTCAAATCACCCATGGAATCTTAGAAGGTTTTTTTTTTTTTTTTCCAAATATATTCACATGAATGGTGTATACAGAATTCTAGGTCTAGAATATCATGAATTGCATTTCTTTTGGGAAGCAGTGTTTTCTCAATGATACATTTTCAGGATGGGCACCAGATATCATCTTGGTAAGCTACTACTGCTGGAGTGCCTCCCCATGAGGTGGGGCAGGGCACTGAGACCTTGGGAATCTGTTTTTGTTTTTGTTTTGTTTTGTTTTGTTTTGTTTTTAAGCGAGGGGGTTCATTAGCATTACAGTAGAATTTGTTGACAAGCAAGAATCCAAGCTCATTTCATGATTTCCTTTCTAGCTGAATACCTGTAACCGAGCCTTGCATTTGTCTCATTGGTTTAGACTTACGTGTAAAGTAAAGTGTGTTGTCAATAAATGCCATTTCCCTGAAGTTGATGCAAGAGCCTTCTTCTTGTACGGCAGCCATCATTATTCCTAATGAAAGTAAAGAGTCACTCATGAAGAGGCAAAGACTGCAGTTTGTACACATAAAATGAACAAAGCCCTTACCTTCTAATTTTTTTAAGATTTATTTTTGTCTTATATGTTTGGTATTTTGCTTGCTTGTATGTCTGTGTACCACATACATGCAGTTCTCATGGAGGCCAGAAGAGGACATTGGATCCCCTTGAACTGAAGTTACAAATGGTTGTGAGGCACCATGTGGTTGCTGGAAACTGAACCCCAGTTCTCTGGAAGAGTAGCCTGTGCTCTTAATTGCCAACCCATCTCTCCTGCTCCTTAATACTACCTTTTAAACTTCTGCATTTAGCCGGGCGTTGGTGGCACATGCCTTTAATTCCAGCACTCGGGAGGCAGAGGCAGGTGGATCTCTGTGAGTTTGAGACCAGCCTGGTCTACAGGAGCTAGTTCCAGGACAGCCTCCAAAGCCACAGAGAAACCCTGTCTCAAAATAAATAAATAAATAAATAAATAAATAAATAAACCTCCATATTTGAAAGTCATTTATTACTCAATATGCTGATAAATCTGTGGTGTTTAGTAAAAGTGAAGCATCCATCAATAATACTCACATTTATGTCCTTTTACAAACTGTTAGTTGTTTGTGGTCAGGAGAGTGCTGTTTCATAATATTTTAAAGGATGAATATATGGCTCACTATTGAATGATTGGTTTCCTGTTCACTGGTGATGCTAGAAATACATCCTCAACTGGGGACCAGTTCGATCTGAACTTAAAGCCCAGTGACCTCCTGTAGATGAAATGCTGAAGGTTCATGTTCTCTCTGATACAGTGGTAAAGGAGAGATAGAAAGTGGTATTTCCACCTGGCGTCTGGGGCAGGGTGGGAGAAGTCTGAATGTCCCTGACAGTTGGTGGGTTTCCTCCGAAGGCAGCAACAGCTTTTGTTCTGAAGTTTGGCTTGTCTATGTTTGTGTTGAGTAATACATAAATATAATGTTTCTTCAAAAAACTCAATTGTGTTTGCCTTTTCCCTCTCCCTTACCCTACTCTGCACTTACATGTGCTGATCCTTCCAGAACTTTTTCATAGAGTAAGGGCTTGTTGTGGAGTTCTAAGTATGAGAAATCTGTGACTTTGGGTAGAAAAAAAATACACATTTATTCTTTTATTTCTAAGCTGAAATGTAGTACCCCTCCTGTTGTTATGTAGGAAACAAACTATAGTGCCCTGGCCCTGCTACTAATGCTCACGTATTATCAGCTACCGTTGCTACCAGGCATCTTGAAACATTGTTTAAGATATGGCTGTTTATCATTTTGAAATTACCCTAATAGATCTTGTTGCTTAATGTATAATAATGAATAAAAACCACTATTTAAATTGTTAGATTTCTTTGGCAGCACTTGTCAGGTTGAGCCAGAAGGATCCAGAGTTGGAGGCTATGTAGTAAGATTTCTACCTAAGGCTCTGTCTCAGCAGCCACCTCCTCAGCTTTTAATAACTATTCTAATTTAATGAGATTCCTCCATGTACTTTAATGTGAAAATAATGGGTCAGACGAAAGCAGCATCCTTAGGGGCTCTCTGCTCCCTTCCACTGTCACTGGCAGGTTCTTTTGATCCCTTTTTCTCCTAAAGGAGGAAAGAGACTTCTCTGTTCACTGTCTCCTGAAGGTGGGTCCACTGAAGAGTAACACAATTACCTTCAATTGTTTTGTTTTTTTTCTCTTTTGAGACAGGGTCCTGTTGAAATCATAATCCTCCTGCCTCAGCAGCTTGAGTGTTGAGATTCCAAGTGTGTGCCACTGAGTCCACATCTGACTCTGGGGTCATGCTCCCTCCCCCAACAGTAATTATCACTCTTTAAAGCCACCTTTAAAGTCACTGAGTATGGTTTACAAACCATACTCTACTTCCTCTCTTAGGAATGTATCCAAACTTAGCCTCTCCGGCTTTCAGTAAATTTTCATGTTTCATGTAGCTCAGGTGTTTGTGTTAATAATCTCTTGATTTTAGTCAAGATTTTTATTGATTTTGGTCAGTAAATCTTGATGGTAATGATCACAGTCAATCTCTTTTTAAAGAAAAAAAGGGGAATAGGATATAGAAGTGAATACTCTGTATTGGTATGGATTTTACTTATTGACACAACTTTAAGGTCAATCTTGTGATATGTACACTTGTTCAGGTATTGTATTTAAAGAGATCTCTTAAAATGTAATGCATAATTAAATACAGATTGTATATAGTCAGGTATAATGCAGTTAGGTTAGTTAGGTTTTCTAGATATACAGAGATGTATTTGAGATGGATGGATATTCTTTAAACCTTTCAAAGACCTACAGAAATATGGCATTTAAATAGTTTAGGGTTTTTCATGACAGTGAGACACAACTGCTCCTGGCAAACCAATTACATCAGAACGCAGGATAGGCATCGAAGAAACTCGTTATGGAGTTTGCCTTCAACATGGCAAAAATAGCCATTTGGGCAAAAAACTGCTCTTGCCTAGACTGTTTGATAAACTGGACATGCAGGACCCACAGGAAAGTGACTGCTGAACTTGCAAAACAAGACAGTCCTGAAGGGTTCCTGCTTCATGGAGAAGTCTGCCAGACACATTGTGGCCTATAGGCTGAAGATGGATGCCCCAACATTACAGAGGAACTTAAGTCTCTCCCTCTGTTTCATTTCTGTCACCCTCCCTTTCCTGTGCTGCCCTCCAACTGCCCCCATAAATTGTCTAGCTTTAGGTATTGTTACAGCTCTAGAAAACTGACAAAAATAGTAGTATTTAGACTGTGCTCTTAAGAACTCCCTAAATTTCTTTTAAAATAACCTGAGATCAAGTACTTACAGTAGAAGAAGGAAATTAAAACTCAGTTGAAAAACTTAATTTTAGTGAGGCTATCCTAAAGTATTTGTTATGTGGCAGACATTTTAACAATTAGACCTAGGTTCAGTTCCTTATATCCAAATGTGAATAGTTATTAAATGTATTTTATATTCCAATAAATAAATGGGTAAAGGAACTGAACATGCAGTTCCCAAAAGAAGTACAAATGACTGATAAATACATGAAAAAAGGCCCACACCTTCAGCTACCAGAGAAACGCAAATTAAAATACATTGAGGGGCTGGAGAGATGGATCATTGGTTGAGAGTATGCACTGCTCTTGCAGAGGATCTCAGTTCAGTTCCCAGCACCCACATCAGGCATCTCACAATTGCCTATAGTAGCCTATAATCACAAGCTGCAGGTGATCTGATGTCTCTGGCCTCCAAGGGACCTTACACTTACATGCTCATACCCCTCCACAGATGCACAAGCATACACGTATAAAACAATAAAAGAGAAATATTGTAAAAGTTACATCAAGTTTACATTTCACCCAAGTCAGAATACCTATCATCAAGAAAACACAAAAACAAAACAAAACAAAGAAGAAATTCCAAACAAAAGCCAGCAAGGATGTAGAGAAAAAGGAACCCTTCTACATTTCTGGTAGAAGTGTAGCTTAGTTTAGTCTCTACGGAAATAAAAATGGAGGTCCCTCAAAAAATAGAATTATCATATTATCCTGCTATATCACTCCTGGGTATATACCCAAATAAATCACAGCCATACATTGTGGGGACAGCTGCATATCTGTGTTACTCATGGCACTGTTCACAAGGGCCAAGTTATAGAATTAGTTGGTGTCCACCGGCAGGCAGATGAATAAACATATATACTTATACAAAGGACTATTATTCAGTCATACAGAAGGATGAATTACATTACTTGGTGGAAAAATGGTTGGAACTGGAAGTCGCCATCTTAAATGAAATAAGTCAGACTCAGAATGACAAGCATAACATATTTTCTCACAGATGCTGAATCTAGATTTAAAAACTATGAAAGTAGAAGGGAGATGATTTGAAGGAGGAAGGGGACCCGAAAAGTAAAGGGTGGGACTCTATTTTGATTTGCTATTAGTGAATTAATGGCTTATGTTGTCTTCTCTAATATTCTATAATGTACCCCCCCCCTCTCTCTCCAGGGTTTCTCTGTGTAGTCCTGGCTGTCCTGGAACTCACTCTGTAGACCAGGCTGGCCTTCAACTCACAAAGATCCACCCACCTCTGCCTCCTGAGTGCTGGGATTAAAGATATATGCCACCACTGCCCAGCTCATATTTTTCAAAAGCAATTTGCCTGAAATAGAGCAAACATTATGGATTTTAAAATTACTATTATTTACTGTAGTGAGTGAATGGTCTTAGAGAAGGACTCAGGTAACCTAAAAATACTACTCCTATGACTGGAGACACAGCTCAGTGGTTATGAGCACCGACTGCTCTTCAAGAGGACTCAGATCCATTTTCAGCACCCACATGGTGGCTCACAACCATCTGTATCTACAGGTCCAGGGAAGCTGATGTCCTCTCCTGGCCTCCACAGGCAACAGTGGTACATGCAGGCATAACATCCATATACATAAAATAAATTATTTATTAATTTACCACTCCTAAATGGGTCTGGTGGTCCAGGTCTGTATTCCCAACATTGAGAAGCCAAAGCTATAGGAACATGAGTTAGCAAGGTGCCTCCCTGGTCTACATAGTGGGGCCCTGTCTAAAAAAAAAAAAAAAAAAAAAAAAGAGGTTAGGGATGTGGCCTCAGTGTTTGAGAGCTTGGCTGGAATGCTCAAGGCTCCCCCTTCAAAAATCACAATAACAACATCCAAACAAACAAAACACTCTTCCCCATACTTCTTGTACTTGTTTACCATTTAATCTCTCAACATCTAACATGAGTCAACTGTGGGACTAGAAGCTGAATGAAACTTTGGTCCCATCTTCCAGTGACTCAGACTCCAGTGGGTGGGACAAGGTGTGATGGGTGCTGTAGGAGCTGGAGTTGGAAGAGATTCCTCGTGGTGGTGTAGGAGTTAGTGTGGTGATGTTAATCTAATAAGGACAGAGGAGTAGCCTTGTCAAGTGCCAGGGAGCGGGGAGGCTGGGAGACCAAGGCTTGCTTGAGGTTTCATCATTTTACCATACAGAGTGTAAATGTAGTCAAAGCCTTCAGAAAGGATTCTCACATACTTCCAAGACTATTTTGTCCCTGGTAATAAGTGTGGCAGTGTGGAGGTACCATTCTTTGGGTGCACATGCTGACAGCCATCAAGGTGGACGCATGCCTTCGTCCCATGCACCTTCTCAGCATTAATAACAATGCTTTGTGGAGTGCCTTCTCTTCACACCTTATCATGGTGGTACTTTGGCCCTCTTAATACTGTAGTCTCCCATCTTGCTTGTACTAATATACTTAGAGATTGTTCATATCACAAATAGTAACATTGTTATCAGATCTGAAAATATTTAAACCTGGGTGTGTTGGTGTACACCAGTAATCACATTTGGTAGGTAAAAAGGGCTGGGGTTCAAGGTGGAGGCAGGAGGTTCAAGATTTTCTTCAGTGACACAGTGAATTAGAGTCCGGTCTGGGTTTTGTGAGATCCTGCCTCAAAAAGGCAAAAAAGAAAATAAAAATCATTTTGATGAAACATAGTATTATATGGCTGGTGAGATGGTTCTGGGCACTTGCCACCCATATCTGGAGATCTCAGTTCTATTCCCAGAACCTACATAAAGGTGGAGAGAACTGACTCCACAAAAATTGTCCTTTGTCACACACCTGTCTCATGCACACATTGTAATAAAATAATAACTTAATAATAGCATTATAATCCAGTGTGATGGCATAGACCTGTAACCCAACTACAAGTGTCGTTAAGACAGGAGGCCTGCTTGGGTAACTCAGAGTGAGTTTAAGCTTAGGTAATTTAGCTCCTGTCTCCAAACTTTAAAAAAAAATGTAACAAAAGGAAGGTGGAAGGTTGGAACTAGGGCTCAGTGTGACAGCTTCTGAAATATGAAGGGAATAGGTTAATTTATACCATAGTGATGGAGGTGGATCATCCCACTAGGGTAAGGTCTTCTAGTTGGCAATAGTGCAAACAGCTTACAATCCCCTTGACCTAGCAGCTCTGAAATTATGCCAATCTAGACGCAGGATTTTATTTAATTCATTTATTTATCTATTTATTTATTTATTTTGGTTTTTTTCAAGACAGGTGTGTAGTCCTGGCTGTCCTGGAATTCTCTCTGTAGACCAGGCTGGCCTTGAACTCACAGAGATCTATCTGCTTCTGCCTCCGGAGTGCTGGGATTAAAGGTGTGCACCATACCTCCAACCTAGACCAACGTTTTAATTTGAAAATATTCAAATTATTTTCAATTATTTATAAAGTTAAACTGTTATTTTCCTATGTCATTATTTGGATTTTGCCTAATGTAATTTAGAGGAACTTGCAGTGAAGTTCCTTTGATGAAAACCAGGGAAGGAGAGCAGGTAGTAAGTCTTGTTTCCTCAGGCTGAAAAGGTCAGTCTCCTCAGGTAGGAGGAAGACAGGTTAAACCCGAGTTTTTAAAATGTCATTCTATTTGGGGACACACCTTAGAACTTTCCTCAAAACCCGGTGAAAGGAAGAAAACCAGGGAAGCCTGAAAACAAATTGATCAAATGGAAGACTTTCTCACTCTCATATTTCCTAATTTATATTGTTCTATGTATTTACTTTGAAGTTTTCACTTACATTGTTCCCACATCCATTAGCTCTAATGCATCATGATTGCAAGTATAATCTCTTCTTCACTCCTCTCCCCATTTTTCTCTGATTCCTTCTCATTCATGCTTCTTTGCTTACTCAGTTCTAATCTACGAAATACAGTTCCCAGTGGATAAGAATGTCATGAACATTTTATCTAATAGTTTATCTAATAGTCTCTTGCATATGTATTGTGTAACTGTTCATGCATGCATTCCTCTGTGTGTGTGTGTGTGTGTGTGTGTGTGTGTGTGTATGTGTGTGGTGTATAGATCAGAGGACAATTGTGGCTATTATTCATTAACTACCATCCATCCTTTTAGAAAGTGAAGAAACAATATTTATTTTTATGTATGTGTCCACATGTCTAAAGTCAGAAGACAACTTGGAGAAGTCATTTCTGCGGCCAGGCATCCTTATCCTCTGAGCCAATTTGCTGGCCACACCCTTTTTTCTTTTTTTGAAACAGGACCTCTCAGTGCCTTGGAACTTGCCTACTGGCTAGACTGGATGGTGAGCAAGCTCCAAGATGGATCCACCAGTTTCTGTCACCTTAGCACTGGGATTATGAGCTCACTGCATCTCTCAGTTTTGCTTGCTTTTTAAACTCGAATTCTGGGGATTGAACACAGCTCCTGGAGTACTTTTCCAGAGTTGTCATCTCTCCAGGCATCACCTGATATTCTCATAAAGAGTCTCCCAGGAGCATATAGCAAGAATTGAGTCTTCCAGCAATACCACTCTTGGGCATATACCCAAAGGAAGCTCATTCATATCAGAAGGGCATTTGCTCAATTATGTTCATAGCAGCATTATTCGTAATAGCCAGAACCTGGAAACAACCTAGATGCCCCTCACCCAAAGAATAAAGATGTGGTACATTTACACAATGGAGTATTACTCAGTGGTTAAAAAAAAGAATGACATCTTGAAATTTGCAGGCTAATGGATAGAACTAGAAAAAAGCATCCTGAGTGAGGTAACCCAGACCCAGAAAGACAAATATGGTATATGTATTTACTCATAAGTGGATATTAGATGTAAAACAAAGGATAACCAGGCTACAATCCACAGTCCCAGAGAAGCCAGGTAAAAAGGAGAATCCTAAGAGGGACACACAAGGAAGGCCCCTGGAAGAGGGAATAGTTAAGATCTCCTGGGTAAACTGGGAAGGGGTTGAAGGGAGGGGATGGGGGATGGGAGCATGAGGGATCCTGGAGATGGCCAAGTTGGGGGAGGAACAGAGAGGGAGAGCAATGAAAAAGATATCATGATAGAAGGAGCCATTATGGGGTTAGGGAGAAACCTGGTGCTAGGGAAACTCCTAGGAATCCACAAGGATGACCCCAGCTAAGACTCGTAGCAATAGTGGAGAGGATGCCTGGACTGGTCTAACACTGTAATCAGATTAGTAACCACTCTAGCTCCCATCATAGAATCTATATCCAGTAACTGATGGAAGAAGATGCAGTGATTCACAGCCAAGCACTGGGCTGAGCTCCTGGAGTTCCGTTAAAGAGAGGGAGGAGAGATCATATGAGCAAGGTTGGTCAAGATCATGAGGGGGAAAACCACAGAGACAGCTGATCAAAGCTAGTGGGAGCTCACGGACTGACACCTGGGGAACCTGCATGGAACTGAACTAGGCCCTCTAAATGTGGTGACAGTTATGTAGCTTGGTCTGTGGCCCCATAGGAGGACTTAATCCCTCTGAGGAATGGATGCTTGGCGGGTAGGATGGGGAGAAGTGGGGAGCCAGGAGAACAGAAGGAAGGGGGAACTGGGGTTGGAATGTAAAATGAAAAAAAAAAAAACCTTAAATTAAAAAAAAAAAGAATTGGGTCTTCAAAACAAACAAACAAAAAAATTGGATAAATGTATGAAAACTAGCCCACAGAGTGAATGGCAGAATAGCATGATGAATATTAGGTCACATGAGGTCCAATTTTGCCTGGGGCAAGTTACTTAATTGGGGGAAGGGTCTCAGTTTCCTCATTTGGAAAACAAGGAAGCTGGAGGGCAAGGTTTTTTTTTTTTTTTTCCCCAGCCCCAGCATTCTGCAATTCTAGGCTATAGCTAAAGCTGCCAAGAAAGAGCCATTTATATGGGGCAAATGTCCTAGTAGCTGCTTCCTCCTATGGTGGTTCTTGACCCGTGGGTCTTAACTCTTTCACAGGGGTCACCTAAGACCATCAGAAAACACAGATTTTTACATTATGATACATAACAGTAGCAAAATTACAGTTATGAAGTAGCAACGAAAATAATTTTATGGTTGGGGGTCACCACAATATGAAGATCTGTATTAAAGGGTCCCAGCATTAGGAAAGTTGAGAATCTTTGGAAGGCAATACACAGCTATAGAATATTATTCAGGTAGAATTTTTAAATTGCTAGGAGCTTTAAATTTTAGTATTGTATTAAAAGTAAAATGCCTTGAACTTGAAAAGCAACTATGACCCCATTTACCCTGTCTGTGGAACTCCAGTTCTGTGGAATAGGTGGGCTGAACCGGGGGGCCTGCTACATGATTAAATCTCTACAATCAGGTGGGAAGTCATCTTGACAGCAGCAAGATCAACACTCAGCATTTCAATTCTTTAAAAAAACAAACAAACATGGGATTGACATGTAAAATAATCTTGTTTCTAATTTAAATAAAAATGGAGAGAAAGAAAAAACAAACACAAAAACAATCAAACAAAAACAAAGCAAAACAAAACAAAAAAAAGCCTTCATTGTAACCAGGTATAGCAACACAAGCCTATAATCCCAGCACTTGGGAGACAGAGGCAGATCTTTGTGAGTTCAAGTCTACTCTAGTTTACATAGTGAGTTTAAGGACAGCCAGTGCTACAAAATGAGGTCCTGTCTCAAAAACAAACAAACAAAACAAAAACAAAACACCTGTATTTTGTGTGTGTGTATGAGTGTATAATGGCATATGTGTGGAGGACAGGGACAACTTTGTGGAGTCGATTCTTTCCTTCCATCTTGATATGAGTTTCATGAATCAATTGCAGGTCAGCAGGTTTTGAGGCAGTACTTTTATCTGTTGAGCCACCTCACTGGCCAGGTGACATTTCAGTTCAATAAGTCAGTTAGCACTTGACAATCATGCTATCTTACAAATGTGTGTACGTGGGATGTGGAAGCAATGGGGGGCAGAATACAACAGGAAATTAGATCATTAATAATAGGTATATTTAATCAACTGTTAAGTATAGGCTTGACAAAAAGAAAAAAAAAGTTCAAATGAAACTGAGATACTTGGATACTTGGAATGAGTATGTGTGAAAGGAAAGTCAATGTTAATTTTGAAGACTGCTCCATATTTGAACAGAGGGACAAGGACATTGGGGAAGAGTACTTGTGTGATGGGGAACAGTGATGTGGTGGGGGTGGGACGGCGGGTGGAGCAGTTCTCTCCTGCAGTGAACAGAAGAATATGAAGGGTTTTGAGAGTCTCGTGGAAGAGTCAGACCCTGGTTAACAGCATAGGGAAAGCGCTGCAGGTAAGAGGTAAGGCACTCTGCAGGAGTGTGTCAGAATTTGGTCGGCTGAAAATAGGCAAAAAGTAAAGAGATTAAAGACATCTTGGTTGGTTTTATTATTTGACTTCAAAATAGAGATAATTTTATTCGGCCCTTCCCATGTGAAATAGTCTTCCTGGGGAATGCTATATTATCCAAGTACAGACCTGCCCAAGACTTCTGCTGCAGATCTTATGATTATCAGCCTTGTGTTCCCTTTTACTTTGACAGAAGTGGTCTGGGGTTGAGACTTCCTTTATCGCTCCAAAAGCAGAGGTTCTGAGCGGTTCCTAGGGTAGCTGAACCTGATTCCAGTAATCCCAGGGTGCCACTTGCCTTTTAGAGCTCATATTCTTAGAAGTGGACCAGAGAGTATCAGAGGTGAAGTCAGTGTACCATCGAAACAGTCTGAAAACAAAGCAAGAAGAACTCTGCCCTCTTCCTTTGGGCTGAACAGTAAAGAGGTTTGTAAAAATACGAAAGGCTGTCTCTAAGAATGTTATTGAAGAATACATGTGATGTACTTTACAATAAACCACTAGGTGACTACTTGAAATTTTTTCAGCTTTCAATTTTTTTCTAGCACAGTGCATTACAGTAATATGGAAAATAGTCAAGAGAAAGAAAGGCTCTCCAGGGTCCTTAATAATCTTCACAAGATAACAGAGACTCTGTGCCCTGAAGTGACACTTTCCCACATCTAGTAGAGAAAAACAACCTGTTCCCCACTTCTGTTCCTTATGTGATTACTGACTTCCTGTCTTGGTGATTGAGGAGACGAAATTCTCTCAATAGCATTTTTAGCTTATTTACCCCTAGTTGTTATGCCAGTGTTTCCAAGTAGAGAGAGACATGTCTTACCTGGGCTAAATAGTTGGCTCCAAGAAGAAGTGATCTGGAAGCTGAGTCCTCTTTCCTCTTCCTGATACTGGAGTTGTAGAAAGGAGGTGGCAGTCCTGTCAGCCGCTGGAGGAGGCAGCCAGGAATACAGAGAGCATGGAGGCACAGAGAGCTTGCAGTCTGGGTGTGGATCCAGCAGTCTGAGAAGAGGACTGAGGCGTGAGGAAGGAGGAAGGAGGTAGCAAAGGGAGGAGACTGCCTGGCACGCCTCAGACCCGCCTCCAAGCTTGCCTTTTCCCAAGGCACACTTGCAGCAAAGTGTTAGAAAACATTCCTTTAATGTAAACATCACTATTGGGTGAATCATCTCTTCTGAAAAGCTGGGGTATGGCCCTTCCCAGGTCCTTGCCTCCTTCAGAAGCTTAGGAAAGCGACACAAGGAAATGAACCTGCTTGGTTAATTAGAGCATCCTTTTTCACATCGGCCTCTGTTCTGAGGCTCTTGTCACACATGAAATGCTTTTGCCTTAACACACTGTAGAATTTCTGTAATCTAGTCATTATACCTAAAATGCCCGTAAAATATATTTTTGGGGAAATACGTAATTTGTATAGTATTTTCTTTCTTTCCCTTTAAGACTTTATTCAGGATTTTTCCTTCCCATGCTCAATGTGGTATCACATGACACATGATAGGGGCTGTTCAGAGTTACTTCTCAATGGCCTGGAAACAGCCCAAAGATATTCATAAAGCCTTTTTTTTTTTTTTTTTTTTTTTTACAGTCACATCAAATGCCAGCCCAAATCTATATCATAGAATTTTTCCTGTGTGTGCATATGTGGGAGTTGTACATTCATGTAGAGACAGAACTGTCCATAATGATTTTTGAGACAGGGTCTCTTACTAAGACCTAAAGTACACATGGGATTTGGCTAGCTAAGCTAATATGCTAGTGAGACCCAGAGACCTGACTGTCCCCACCTTCCCAGTGTTGGGGTTACAAGTGTGTGCCATCATGCTAATAGGCTTTTTAAAAAGTTTTTTTTTCCTGTGTGTATATGTGTGTGGGGGTTGGGAAGGTAATTCATGTGCCATAAGTATATAGATGGTCAGAGGACATCTTGCAGGAGCAGGTTTTCTCCTTCCAGCATGAGGGCCCATGGATTGAACTCAGGCTTTAGGCTTGGCAGTAAGTGCTTTTATGTGCTGAGCCATCACACTGGCCCTATGTCAGGCATTATTATTATTTTTTTTTTAATGTGAGTTAGTTGGGGGTTGAACACAGGTCCTCACACTTGTGTGGCTAGAACTTTACGCTGAGTGGCCTCCTCTGTCCCACCATTTGATTTTTTTTTAATAAAAAACTTGAGTAAAAATAGACTAAAAGCTGGGCACAGTAGCTCCAGTGTCTAATCCCAGTGCACCTACAGGAAATGAGAAGTGTGGACAAGAGAGTCCCCAGAAGCTCCAGGGCCAGCTAGCCCGGGTAATTCAGTAGCAAGGACACCCTAGGACTGACATCAGAAGCCTGTCTTCTCACTGCCACATGCATACTGTGGCATGTTAGCACTTGCAGGCTTCCTGTCCCCAAGACAAAGGCAAACCAGAATCATCTATTCCTAGGATGAAATATGACTTAGGGAGATTATTTTGTAAAGTTTATCTTTAACTCATCAATACAGCTTTCTAATTAACTCATTGATATAGTCTTCTAAAATGTTACTTCTAAAGACAAGAGTGCAAATATATCTGTGAAATAAAAGCTAAATTGTTGCTTTGTTAGCAATGGAATCAGAAAGTGACTTTTTTTTTCCAGTACAGAAATGGAAAGAGGGCTTCTAAAGTTAGGAAACAAAATGCTGTGTAAGCAGGTAGTTTTGAAAGAAAAAAAAAAACAGGGTAGAGTTTTAATTTCCTAAAGTCATGAAAACATCATGTCCATAGCCATGATTACAGAGGAAGTTGGTGGTGAGATATTTGGAGGGACTTGGTGTGATACAAGGTTCTTTTTTCTATGATATAGAGTAAGCTATATTTCTGCATCCTATATATTTTATCGACCTGTTGCCAGTCCTTGGAAGATTCTAAGGCTCTGGCTAACCAGAACCATCCACATCTTCTCATTACCCATACAATGAGGGAAACGTTAAAACCAGAAAAGAATATAATATGGTTTTCTTTTAATATGATGAAAACATTTATGCATTAGGATAGAATCCTTTTTTTCCCTTGAAATATTTTAAGAACCAAACGAATAATTATGTTTAGATATAATACAATGTGAAGGTTGGGAGAGGAATAGACCAGCATCACTCAGACTTTTTGATTTAATGGACTTTAAAAAATAACAGTGCTAATAAAAAAAGAACAGTGCTAATGATAATGATATAGGATAGTTAAGACTTAAGTAGGAGGATTGATTACAAGTTACAGTTTGTCTCAAAAACAAACAAAACCAAATAAATAGTGTAGAATATTATATTTGCTGGGAATGTCTAAAAAGTTCAAATCCTTACATTTTTATTTTGTGTTTATACAAAAAAATTAGAATAAAGTCATCGTCTTGCTTTTTGTTTGTTTTTCAAGACAGGGTTTTCTTTGTGTAGACCCAGCTGTCCTGGAATTCACTCTTTAGAACCGGCTGGCCTCGAACTCACAGAAATCTGCCTTCCTCTGCTTTCCAAGGGCTGGGACTAAAGGCATGGGCCTCCACTGCCTGGCTTTAGTCTTTCAATAAAAGATGGTCTTTAACTTTGATATAATGTCATATATCCCAGGATAGCCTCAAAATTAGCCAAGGATGACCTTTTAAATTCCCGATCCTCTAGCCTCCACCTTGCCAGTCCTGGAATTACAAGTATACACTGATTTATGGGTGCTAGAGATTGAACCCAAAGGCAGCAAAGTCCTGTAAAACGAACATATCCAGCTTTATAAAAAGTTTATTACTTATTGCAGGTAGTAAAAATTTCAGAAGAGACAACACACTTTCAAGTACCTGCAACCTCCCATATCGGGGAAGGAACTAGTTAGGCAAAATTAACAAAAGTAAAACAAAAACAAAAACAAAAACAAAAGACCACGTGTTAAATAATAGCATTTTAAAATGTAAAATTATGTGCTCAGGGTTCATTGGAGGCATGCCATTGACCTTTGTTTTAAGAGGGAATACTGTTTCTACACCAGGTTGACTAACCGGAAAGAATTTAGGAAGTTTGTCTGTGAAACCTCAGGTCAAAGTCAGCATGTACAAGCACCCAGTAAAGTTAAGCCTCGAGTGTGTGAACCATGCGGATTACTAAGTACTTTTTGAACGCTAATTAGGTCAGCTACACTTAACTGACATATCCATAAAGTCACTTTCTTTTTAAGGGTGTGATTCAGAGTTTGGTCACATCAAAGGGACGCAGATGGAGACTGTGCCAAACGTGCCCTTTTCCTGAGAGGAGCAGGTGGGAAATATTTAATGCTCATCTGCTGAGTACCTCCCTCCTTCCTAGGGACCAGTTTCGAAGTTTAACTCTAACTTCTCCACAGCGTGGGAAGCGGGCTTTCTGTTTCTCGAAGGTTCCAAGTCAAGAGAAAAAGGCGGGAAATAAACGGAAGCCAGGCTCTAAGCGGACCCTGCCAGCGAGGCCGTCACGTGACTCACGCGCTGCCTGCTGGGAGCCGTGCACGGGGCGCCTGCGCAGAGGAGCACGAAGCCTTCGCTGTTGTGCCGCCGTTCTGAGGGAGGCAGGTCGTGGCCGAATCCCGGATCGCGAGTGGGACAAGAGGGTGAGCGAGCGCGCTGCGCGTGACGGGGAAGTGGAGTGGGAAGGAAAGCAGCGGGTGGGGGGCCTGGTGTGGGCCCCTGAAGGTGTGAGGGAGGCGAGGGAAAGAGGCGGGGAAATGGCGTGAGGAGACAATAGCGTTTGCGAAGAGAGCACAACAGAGCGCCGGAGCAGCAGTGGTGGCACACACTCGGAGCACGGTAACAGGAGGATTGCTGCGAGTTTGAGTCCAGCCTCGGCTATCCTGTGGGTTCCAGGCTAGCTTGGTTTATGTGGTGAGTTTCAGTTCCGGAAAATCTGAAACCAAACCAACCACCTCCCGCAGAAGAAAACCTAGACAAACAGCCGCAAACACTTGCACCAAGGTGCCGCCTTAGATGTGTATAGCCCCAAGTCACCGACATTTTCGTAGAGTGAGGACCTACCTGCCGGTAAACCCAGACTTTGGCTAGTTAGGAGTTTTAAATTATGACATAAATCACTTTTACAGGCACAGAATTGCCTAATTATACAAGTTTTATTGTGTGTGTGTGTGTGTGTGTGTGTGTGTGTGTGTGTACATTGTTAGTTTGAAAAAAGAAAACAGCAAAAAAGGGAAGAAGACTTTTCCCTTGTGTGGTTTCCCTGAAATACTTTCTAATTTTTAGGAAACTCAGTGCATCCACGCGTGCATTTTCTGCACGTTACTACACTAGCTTAATACCCTGAAGGTAATGATAGGCATTTGGAAGTACTGTGCTGAAGTTTGAAGTGTCTTTATAATCTGCTTTTTGATCTTGTTGCCATCATATGCATATTATAAGTATCTGGATTCTCTATAGTTTTAATCTAACTCGTGGTATTTAAAAGAAACATCTACGCGTGTGGCAAAGGCCTTTAATTCCAGCACTCTGGCCGCAGAGACAGGCAGAACTCGAGTTTGAGGTTAGCCTGGTCTACAAAGAGCGTTCCAGGACAGCCAGGGTTATACAGAGAACCCTGTCTCAAAAAACAAACAAAAGAAGAGAAGCAAATACTTTGAATGTATAAAGTTCTTCAACTCTAAGATATAAAGCCCATCCTTTAAAATTCCAATGCCTTTTCAAGTTTAAACCTTAACAGTTCAGAATTTATTTGGTGCCTTATTAAGGTACGGGTAGTGTAATGGAAACAATCTCAGACTAGAAGAACAAAGAGATCCTGTTTCTGGAATAACCTAGTTTTATTTTTTTTATTTTTTTATATATTTATTTTTTAATTTTTAAATTTTTTAATTTATTTTTTTTAGCTTTATTTGTTTAAATGTGATCAACCATCTCTAGAGTTCCCCTCTTTCTTCTTGAAAGAACAAAAGGAGGGGAGCTCTAACCTCTACATTTTAAGAATGTATTCTTCTTTCATATATTACATTCCAACTTAGTTTCTCACCCTCTACTACTCCAAACCTCTCTCTCCCACCTCCCCTCTCACCCAGATCCACTCGTCCTCCCATTTCCCTTCAGAAAAGATCAGGCCTTCTAGGGATCGAAACCTAATATGGCATAACAAATTACAATAAGACCACACACGGAGGAAAAGAGTCCCAAGAGCATCTAACCTCTACTTTTAACAGTAAAACTTTACAAAGAGAGAAGAATCTTAAATGTTCTGATGCTAAAACAAGATAGAATTGCTAATGAGGTTAGTTGAGCTCATTTTATATAGACAAGTAAGTTGAAAGTGGTCTCAGATAATGGATGACCTTGGATGCCATGTGATAAAACTTGAGTTTACTGACCCAGCAGGTTTTTGAATGAAAAATTTTGAAAGATAGTATGAAATAGAGAAGAGAGAAATTAAGTTTAGGTGGCAGATCAGGAGAGCAGAAATTAATTATGGTAGAAGTGGGAAAAAGACTTGGGTGAAGAAGACTATAGTGTGGAGCTCATACCTAAATTTGACAAATCTCTAAACTTTATAGCTTGTGCTTCCAGAGTATAATGGCAAACCACCTCGTAAAACCTGATTCTAGAAACTGTAAGAGATCAAGAGAATTGGAGGTAAGCTTTATCTTCCTGGAGCATTTTATTGTATTTTACCTATTTCTGGTTTCTTTTCTTCAAGAAAGTGCCTTTGATAAGTAAAACTTAGTGTTCTCATAATCCCAAGGGGGAGGACAGTACTAGCAGGAACTATGTTGACTCTACCTAACTTTTCCACTAAGAATAGACCTATAAAAATCTACTTAGGAATTTCTTCTTGGTAGTTTATGGCCTTAAAAGTAACCAAAGTGAGTCCATGTGTTTTTGATACATGGGACTTTACATGCATAATTATTTTGCTAAGATGAGTAAGATCCTTACTATGCTGTAGGCAGGTCTAGGGATTGTACTTAGATAATCAGATTTCAGTGGTTAGTGCTTTCTTTCACTGCTGGAGCCATCTCCACAGTCTTATATTGCAAAATTTTGCAACAATTTGGCTGTTGTCTGAGTTACAGTTATCATGTTATAAAAATATCCACTGGTGCAAGATACAAGACTGTTTTTTTATTAAGAGTTAAAAGCCGTTTTCAAAATCTCAAAACTGCACAAAATTCAGTATTTTGAGCAAGGTGTCTCTTGTGTCTAAAGGTTTCCTTGATGATAAAAATGTAAATAACTGGTATAGAATCTCTAGCAGTCGGCTTTTTAATTTTATTTATTTATCTTTTCAGTGCTTTCCGAGTCTAGTGCTTTCCTATTAACTAATCCCCAGCCCCAAGCCTAGAGTTTCATTTATAATTCTGAAATACTGGGAATTAAACCTACAGCCTTAAGGATGCTAGGCAAACACTGTAGTAAGAACCCTGTCCCCAATCCCTCTGAAAAGGTTTTGTTTGCTTTTTTAATGAACAGAATATATGTGTCTTAAAGATCTTACCATTGATCTGTTTTCTTTCTTTTCTTAGCCCCAGGTATCAGATAGTTCACAGGTACCCTCTCTTGGAAAATCGGATTCTTCTTTCTCTGAATGTTCTGGACTCCTTTATAAAGAGGATGCCCTGGAGAAGGATTTGAGTGGTAATGTATAAATAATGCTTGTATTTATGTGTCTTGACTATATCACGAAGAAACTTCGTTAGATTTTACAACCTACTCAATTTTTTGAACAGATATGAGCAAGGAAATTAATCTGATGTTGTCTACATATGCAAAGATTTTAAGGCAAGTAATTATGATACTTTGAGTATTTTTATTACAAATCCCTTTGTCCTGAAAAATCAGTAATGAAAATTTAATTTCATGGCTTAAAAATCTATCTGATAATTAGAAATTTGAAGTCACAATTTTATCTTAATTCCTTATAATAGATGAGTTGATTATTTTAAGGGAGTAATCCCCAACTTACCTATCATAATTTGTCATATTTCTATCGCTAATACCAGAATGAATGTATTTTGGTTTCTAGATGGTAGTATCTTTAAATTTTTATTCAGATTTATTCTCTGAGAATATTATTTTTTTGGTGAAATTTGTGTTAATGGGGTTGTATTAAAGATAAATATTTCATATATTTATATTTTATTAGTATACATTTCAAGGCTGAATTTAAATATTGGCCTGAGAATTTGAATTGTTACCAGGTGGTTTATAAGCTACTGGACAGTCACTATACCTGCAAATAGTTTGTTTAATTTTAATAATTTATATAATTTATAATTAAAGGTAACTATATAAGATGCACTTTCTGTGTGTCAGGAGACTTTTTAAATAGCCAAAAATATTTGCCGGACTGATTTAACTTTTTCTTGAAGAATGTTAGTAAATTAATTAAGCTCTATCATAGGCAAAGCCATGAAACTGAAATAGCTAACAGATACAGTATAAAGAACATGATAATGATGGCATGTCTAGACTATAACTCATTTTAATATCAAGCCTTTTTCCCTATTAGTGAGAGAGCAGCAGTAGATGCATCTTATATTGACGAATTAGATGGACTCTTCAAAGAAGCCAATATTATTGAAAACTTTCTGGTACAAAAAAGAGAATTCCTGAAGCAGAGGTTTACAGTAATTACCAACACCCTGCACAAGTAAAATACCTATACCAACTGAAAGTCGGTTCCTATTATTGCTGTATTCTACTTGTTAAAGAAAATATATGTAGTAAACTGTAACTTTTTCTAAATTTAAAAGAGGTTTTAAGGTGAACAGTAATATGAAATTTGTAATCTTTCTTTTGAGGGTCAAATATTTGGCACATTATATAAAAATGTAAATTAAAAATTATATATGTGTTCTTTTCTTTCTCCTTTACTCCTAAATTGTGTAAACCTTCTTAAACTGTGAAAGAGAACTCTGTTAATTTGATTATGCTTAACAATATTTGTTTAAATAGCAGCTAATTTTGGAGATAGTTTTAGAATGTTTTTCTTGGTTAGTATTATAAAACAACATTAAACATTAAATGTAATTTATGTCCAGTTTTTCAACATATAATAAAATATAACTATGTGCTACTGCTATTTAATATTACCATTTAATTATTTTTACTTATAATCATATATTTGACTAAAAAGTTTGGCTTGAAACAATTTCATGTGATAAAAGTAATAAAATAAAAATGGAAAGTTACTATAGCCTGACTATTTTTTAGGTGTCATGTTCTATGGAACCCAGGTGAGTTCATACATTTGCCTCAACCTCCTTAGCATCAGCACTAAGGTTATATACCACCAAGTCTGATTGTCTAAGTACTTATTACCTATTAACCACATTGATTTGTGAAGTTGATGAATTATATTTAGAAGCCTTAGCTGTAAGGTTGATGAGATGAAGATTAGTACTATGGAACTGAGGATGTCAGTTTATACATGGCTTTGGCAGACCACTTCAATCCTATGAAAATGTGAAGTTGAATTTGGTCTAGAAGATCTCTTATGAGACTAAATAACTCCTCTTTGTATACAAATAAAGTATGGCTATGATTTTATTCAAAATGGCTTATGTAATATATAACTACATTAGTTGGATCAAAAAAAGTCATAATCTCTACCTTCAATCATATAGACAATTTGGTTTTCCAATATGTATTTTCCAATATAAGGAATTAGAACTTGGGTACATTTGCATAGGGCACCACAAAGAATTTGTATTTTTAAATTAGGCAGAATCTTACCTTGCTGCCTGTAAACTTCAAAATAATTTTTTATTTCATCAGGTTTCCTGTTTGTTTGCTTGAGGCAGAATCTATGTAGCCTTGACTGACCTAGAACTCACTGGGTAGACCACTCTGACCTTGAACCCTCAGAGAGATCTAGCTGCCTCTGCCTCCAGAGTGTTAGAATTAGAAAGAAAGGAAAGAAAGAAAAGGAGTGGGGTCCTGAACCCTATTTCTTGGTAATTTTGCTTCCTAGCAGTGTTAGCTACTTAGATTCTCAAAGATACTTGTGAAAGTACTTCATGGTGTTCTGTCTGTGCTTTATTGTGAGAAAATGCTTTTTTATAAGATCAGTGAATGTAGAAGAAAAGGGATTAAATGAAAAGGAGAAGGGTGAGCTGTGGCCTACTCGTCTAAATTTGGACTTTATACTGTGTTTGAGTCATTCAGAAGGAGAGAAATTGTGTAATGAACCCCTGAATCTGGTTCCATGGACTTAAGTACAGGTGGGGACAGATTCCAGAAAGGGATGGCCAAGGAGGGAGAATATAATTGGTCTGATTTTAATGTCGAAACAAAGATTACTTACAGTTGGTTGGGATACATGCCGTGGAACTGAGACTAATTTTACCAGTGTTTTGAGGCCCCACCTCCTGCCTGCCCTTCCCCCAGTCCCATTTTGTTACAGAGCCAGAGACAATTCAGGCTCATTATTTACTTATTAAGGCCAGTGGCTTCGGATTTGGAAATTCTGAGACCTGCCTCCTGCCCCTGAACTGAGTGAGAAAGTTTCCTCAAATCTTTCTCCGTTTCCCCAGCGGCCTTCCTGCCACTGCAGTGCACCAGGTAGGGGACTCTCCCAACCACTCCCTTTCCTAGTCCCCTTCTTACCAATCTGCAGGTGGACTGCTGTGCCTGGCGTCCTGAAGATTATGGCAGGCTTCTGAAGTTATTCCCTCTGTGTGATGCAAACAGCAACTCCACAGAGGGAGAAGTGAAAGTAGGCTGACAGAATTGGTTTACTCATCGTAAACAGCTATTGTGTTCACTCAGTTAATGCAACACACTGGGCAGGAGTAGGTCTAGAGATTTTTCTTGGATGCCTCATCAGAAGGGGTTTTTCCTTTTCTAACATTTCCCAACTGAAAACCACTGCTTTGTATTCTGATGAAAATGTTTGGTTCTCCTGTTTGCATTCTCTGAACTGGTTTCAAACTCTGTTGTTTTCTTTTGTAGTTTTCTATTATAGCTAGTATTTCAAGAATTTATTTTCAGTAATCTTTTTGATGTAGAACTTCCAGAAGTTGCACTGATATACTCAGTAAATTATAAAATTGTCTAATCAGTTAGTGCTTGCAGTGTGTAAGGCAGTGTGTTAGGTGCTAGGACAGGGGAGACGTAAACTAGACTTTGTGTTCCAGGAGTACTGCTAGGAGAGGTCGTAAAGTATACTTACTTATCTTTATCACACAAGACAGCAAGCAAGATAAGGAGCACAGGAAAGCTATCAACAGCTGCAGTGAGGAAATGGGGATGTGGTGCTTAGGAAGCAGGTGACCCAGAAACTGGAGCTTGGAGGTTAAGTCACATATGCAAATTTCATGTAAAGGAAATGGGGGATATTCTGGGTGAAGAGAATAGAATGGTCATGAGAAGAGACTGGAGAGTAGCCCAGTTGGGCTGGAATAAACAGCTAGCTAAGTTGGGCTGAGACCCTACAAGGCTTTCAAGTGCATGGTCATGCAGATTCAACAATGACAAGTGACTTGTGAGTTATGGAGGGATAAATGATGCAGCCAGATTTGTATGTAGGAAATTTGATTTAGTAGTAGTGCATCTCTGCCTTTTTCTTATCATTGCACTGGTGGAAAACCATCTCCCCTGCTCAGCCAGATAGACTAGAATCTGTAGTCCTGATGAGATATTAGGAGCAATTGGCCTAATGTTTCCAACCCTTTAGATGCCAAGGGGTTCAAGCAACTCACTAAGTAGGATGTTGTGGTGTGAGGAAGACTTCATTCCTCACAGAGTTTCTCTTTCCAGTTTCTCCTCCAGCTGGGAGGCTATTAATCTAGTTAAGAGTCAAGGGCCTGAGTTAGGCAGTATGAAGGAAGTGACATATAAGAAAGAGAAGTTGAGGCATCTGTGCTGAGGAAGATGTGCTTAGGTTAGGAAAAAATGTGTAGTCCCAGGGAAGAGAGACTGGTGAAAATAAAGTTACCCATGCAGAATTTTGAGTTTGGGAAATTTATACATAAGCTACGGAAGTCTTCTTTTTCAGATTTCCCCTACTGGCCCTGTGCTGCTGTGGTCAGAAGAACTGTGTTGTAAGCTCAGGGAACAAAGATGAGTTCAGTGCCCACAGAGAAACTGAAGTGAGGTGTTTCAGCTGGTGGAAGAACTGATTCAGAAGAGAAGGTGAAGAGTTGAGAGTCATGTCTAAGAAATAACTGGAGAATTTAACAGCCAAGATGAGATTACTAAGGAGAATGCTGAAATTAAAGAGTAAAGGTCCAAGGTTATACCTTGACATTTAGGTGGTGATAAGAGGGAAAGGATCATTATACTTAATTATGATGATAGATATAAGCAGGAATCATTAACTTCTCTTAATCCTTATTTTACTTGGAAAAACTTGAGGTTTGATGGGGTTAAGATGTTTGCCTAAGGTTGCCAGCTAGTGATAAGGAAGCTGACAAAAAGCAGCACAGTTAGAGGGTAACAAAGTTAAAACAGCAATTAAATGTTAGAATAGCTGGTCTCCCAAGCTAAGAACAGAAACAGGTGTAAGGAGATGGTAACAGCCATATCAAATACTAGAATTTTGAAGAGTGTAAGATTGCCAGTAACATGGAGTATAGAACATACAGATATCTAAATATAATCTAAAATCAAGGGCCCAGAGAGATGGCTTAGTGGTTCAGAGTACTGGCTGCCTTTCCAGTTGGTCTGGGTTCGAGTCCCAGGATACACATGGTGTGGCTCATAACCATCCTTCATTCCAGTTCCAGGGCATCTAATACCCACTTCTGACCTCTGAGGGTACCAGGTATGCACATAATACAAAGACATGAAACATGAAATATTTATAATTCATGTGTATCTAGTGGACTGTTCAGTTTAACTCTATGTAAAATAGTTAATCTGCTTTTTATTGGGGAATTTTAATCTGAGAGAATAAGATAAATTCACCACTGTTTATAAAAGTAGAGTAGGAAAAAAAATCAAGATTTCTCTTTGCTTTTTTCAAAAGCATTTTCTTAATACCCCTAAATAGTATCTTTCCTTCCCATCATTTTGTATACCTGCTTGATTCACTCCAAAGACTATGTGTTGTTATGTGTGGAGTGGAGTCTAGGAATTTGGATTTTAGCTCCTGTACCCCTTAGGCAATGAGTTCCTCTTGTTGAGTTTGGAGGCTTTTTAGTCTTTCAGCAATGTCTAGCTCTTTGTTGAAAAACTAAAATAATTCAAAGCAAGAAAATCCGAAGTGCATCTTATTGTATTGAACATTAAAGGTTAAAGAAATAATACTAAATATTTGGGGGATATTCATTGTGTTTAAAGCTTCCCATAAACTTGCATGGCCACTTATTTTCTTAGGCATGATAAGAATTCTTATTTCTCTGTCTTAGAAAAGAAGAAAAGGCACAGAGAGGTTAAAAAAAACTTTAGAAACGACTTAAGAGTTGAACCTAGGCACTCTGACTATGTATGTTCTTTAAAGGAAGTAACATTTGAGTTAGACCTTGAAAAACAAGTAGAATTCTCTTTAATTTTTCTGGTGTGTGTGTATGTGTGTGTTTGCATGTATGTGTGCACAGGCAGAAGCTGGGGGTTGGTAGCAGGTGTCTTCCTCAGTTTCTCTCCACTTTTATTTTTTGAGATAAGATCTCTCTCTGACCGAGAAACTGATAACTAATTGAGCTAGACTGGCTGCCAGTCAAACCTTAGACTCTTCACTGTCCCAGAGCTAGTGTAACAAGGCTTGCTACTACACCCAATGTTATTGTCGTTCTTTATGTGGGTGTTGGAATTGAACCCATGCCCCATATTTGCACAGTAAGCAGTTTATTGACTGAGCTACCTTCCAGTCCTCCAGCTTCCCCTGCTCTCCTCCCACCCTTCTGAGACAGTGTCTTACTTTGTAGCCAAGGCTGGCCTCATATGCTTCTCCTTCTTTACTTTTCCAGTGCTGGGATTACAGTTGTGTGCCACCACAACTGCCCAACATTCTTCTTGTCTTTTTTATTTTATTTTTCAGTGATGGAATCCAACACTTCCCCTTGTGCATGTTGGGGAAGAAGCACTGACCTACATCCCCACCTGTAATTTTCTTAGGGAGAGGCTTTGGGAAGGGCATTCAGGGTGAAATAAATATTGTTTGGGAAAACAAGAAAGAGCTGAGCCTGACTGGATTGTTATATTTAGAAAAGGTCACATGTGCTTCAAACTTAATATTTCAAAGAATTGGACCATATATTATAAAATAAATTGCCAATTACATCTCAGATCTTTGGATGTTTATCTGTTATCTTTTTTCTAGTCTAGACTCCTGTACCTCTGACAAAAACCTCTAAGAAGTAAAGGATTATAGCCAGTATTATAAGTAACTTTGTTATATCTAAAGTTATATTTGACCACACCTCTCTGCATCTTGTGAAGTCTTGTAAGTATGAAATAAATAGGGATGATGTGAATGCCATCCTGATTTATAGGATAGGATTTTACTCTTGTAGCTTATTGATTTCATGTAATTTTATAGATTATAGTTTTATAGAGTATAATTCATGATACCTTTCTCATAGAGACCACAGTTCTATCTTTGGGGTTATGTTATGGCTTATCTAAGGTACCATGATCAGTGTAACTATGGTAATATTGAATGGCCACCATTTTTGCTCTAACAGCTAGATTGCTATTAGCACATCTGGGGTTAAAATGTGGGGTTAATCTAGAAAAAGAAAAGCATTGTTTCAACTATGAAAAATGACAATAGTAGTAAGTAAACTATTGAGTTAACACTTTGGTAGATTATTACTGAGAGAAATCTAAGGATTGTTATGGTTCGGAATGGAGAATCCATGTTAACTTGAGAATAAGAAATGGAGAGAGGAATTCCTTGAACCAGACCAATGACTCATTGCAATGAACATTTGCTAGTAAAGCTAGTTGGACAAAAGGGTATATACTGTGTGACACACCTCTCCCAATGCCGCCAGGATGAATTCAGAGGTGTGGGAGAGGTGGGAAAGATGGAGAAAGGAAGAGGGTTTTGTTTTTTTTTCTTTTTGGATTTGTTCTTTTGTTTGTTTTGTTTGGTTTGGTTTGTTTTTTAAAAAAATTTTCATGCAGGGGACACTACAGGAGTGAGGGGGAGGATATGGAGAGACTGGAAGGTGAGCAGAATTAGGGTGCATGATGTGAAATTCCCAAAGAATCAATAAAGAAATTATGCTAAAAAGAAGAAAAAGAAAAGAGGAATTTGGAGACTATTTGGTTTAGGTTCACATTTCCCTCAAGCAACCAGTCCATAGAATTAACTGCAGGGAATAAACATGTTAACAAGAGATCCTGTAGCACTGTGTGTATGCACTCACCTGTGTGTGTGTTCACATGTGTGTGCTTGTGTCTATGGGGGGATAAACATGTTAACAAGAGATCATGTAACAATGTCTGTGAGCATGTGTACATATGTGTGTTCTGTTTTGCTTCTCTTTCACAGTTCTGAAGAAGTAGGTGGGATATACCAAAAGCCATGTTGAGACAGCGCAAGAGTCTGCCGTGCATTGCCCCATTGTTGACCACTGTAGAAGAGACTCTGGACACTGTGTCTGCTCGGGTCCGAGGACACATTCCTGAATGGCTCAATGGCTATCTACTTCGAGTTGGACCTGGGAAGTTTGAATTTGGAAAGGATAAGTAAGCCCAGATTTTGGAGGCCAATCTGGGCTTTGTGGTGTGGTTTGATTTTATGGAACATGCATTTAACTGTCTTTCTTCACTGTGGTGATTATTCTAGCCCTTTTATTATAGATACGGAAATTGTTGCCTAGAGGAGGAAGAAG